TGGGAGTTGGGATTTGGGGGATTTGCGGGATTTGGGAATGGGGATGTGAAGGAAGGGGAAGCAGAGGAAAGGCCTCGTTATTCCAACGTTCTCCCTTCCCCTGGTGCTCCCGTTATCATGTTATCCCATTATCTCCGTTATCCTGTTATCCCATTATCCCATTATCCCAAAATCCCGATATCCTGATATCCCGATATCCCATTATCCCAAAATCCCGATATCCCATTATCCCAAAATCCCGATATCCCATCATCCCAAAATCCCGATATCCCATTATCCCAATATCCCATTATCCCAATATCTCAATATCCCATTACCACATTATCCCAATATCCCATTATCCTGTTATCCTGTTATCCCATTATCCCGTTATCATGTTATCCCATTATCCCACTATCCCATTATCTCGTTATCCCATTATTCCAATATCCCGTTATCCCATTATCCCGTTATCCCGATATATCCCAATATCCCGATATATCCCAATATCCCGATATATCCCAATATCCCGATATATCCCAATATCCCGATATATCCCAATATCCTGATATATCCCGATATCCCGATATATCCCGATATATCCCGATATCCGTACCGCGCTGGCAGTCGGCGCGGCCGGGCAGCACGCCCTGGTACACGTGGTAGGGCAGCCCCGGTACCCCAATCCCCAATCCCGGTATATCCCAATATATCCCGATATATCCCGATATATCCCGATATCCCGATATATCCCGATATCCCGATATTCCGATATGTTCCGTACCGCGCTGGCAGTCGGCGCGGCCGGGCAGCACGCCCTGGTACACGTGGTAGGGCAGCAGGCGGCGCAGCGCGTCGCCCAGCGAGCGGAACGGCGCCCGCGGCTCCGGGTGCAGCACCGCGCCCTGGTGCCGGTGCAGCTGCTCCAGCAGGCTGCGAAGGAAACAGGGTTTGGGGTGAAAAACGGCGGATTTGGGAACAATCACCGCGCCCTGGTGCCGGTGCAGCTGCTCCAGCAGGCTGCGAAAACAGCACGGGTTTGGGGTGAAAAACGGGAAATTTGGGAAAAATCAACCCTTTGGGGGCAGAAACGGAAAAATTGGGCAAAAAAACCCCACGGGTTTGGGGGGAGAAACGGCAGATTTGGGAAAAATCAATGGGTTTGGGGGGAGAAACGGAAAAATTGGGCAAAAAAAACCCCACGGGTTTGGGGTGAAAAACGGCAAATTTGGGAAAAATCAACCCTTTGGGGGCAGAAACAGAAAAATTGGGCAAAAAAACCCCACAGGTTTGGGGTGAAAAACGGCAAATTTGGGAACAATCAACCCTTTGGGGGCAGAAACGGAAAAATTGGGCAAAAAAAACCCACGGGTTTGGGGGGAGAAACGGCAGATTTGGGAAAAATCAACCCTTTGTGGGGAGAAACGGAAAAATTGGGCAAAAAAACCCCCACGGGTTTGGGGTGAAAAACAGCAGATTTGGGAAAAATCAATGGGTTTGGGGGGAGAAACGGAAAAATTGGGCAAAAAAAACCCACGGGTTTGGGGGGAGAAACGGCAAATTTGGGAACAATCACCGCGCCCTGGTGCCGGTGCAGCTGCTCCAGCAGGCTGCGAAGGAAACAGGGTTTGGGGTGAAAAATGGGAAATTTGGGAAAAATCAACCACTTGGGGGCAGAAACGGAAAAATTGGGCAAAAAAACCCCCACGGGTTTGGGGGGAGAAACGGCAAATTTGGGAACAATCAACCCTTTGGGGGCAGAAACGGAAAAATTGGGCAAAAAAACCCCACGGGTGTTGGGGGGAGAAACGGCAGATTTGGGAAAAATCAATGCTTTGGGGTGAAAAACTGAGGGTTTGGGCAAAATGGAGAGAAATCAACAGTTTTGGGACAAAACCAAATATTTTTGGGGCAAAAATGGAGAAAAATCCCCATTTTTGGTTCAAACATGGACAAAATTCCCACTTTTGGCAAAAACATGGCCAAAATCCCATTTTTGGCAGAAATTCGGCCAAAATTTCCATTTTGGGCACAAACACGGCCAAAATTCCCATTTTTGGCA